TATTATTTAATAATATATATCAACTTATTTAATGATACATCTTTGGAGATGTATGGATATTAACATGTAATACAAAAAATTAAGTAAAAAAGTAGTCTAAAACTATATTGTTTTTCATAAAATCCAACGAGAAAAAAATTAAAACAATCTCATCATTGCTTTAACAATTAAGATATTTTAATATTTTTTAATAAAATTTTATTAAAATGACTTAATTTTGATTTTTTTTATTATTAAAATTAAAATTAATTTATAGTTCTAAGTAATATTATAATTATATCATTATTAAAATTAAAATAAATTATAAAAAACAGCAATAATTAAGACTTTAGAGCAGCTCCACGCCTCCAACTGAGACGTGAGACACGTAATGGGGAGAGAGACTGAGAGTGGAGACTGCCTCATGCTTGGCCTTGGGGGACTGCACGATCCCTAAGATCTTTCTATTTCAAATTCTTTGATGGAAAATGGAATATGCTACGTAAGTGGATTGCAGGCAATATCAGAATTTCTCCCGTTCATGTGGACCTTTCGATGCATATTTTTCGACACTACAACATCATCCTGAAAGATGTTTTTCAAATCAATTTTTATACATTTCTCAAGGTTAATTTTTCCTTTATGACCTTAAGAGCACACCTCACGTTAATTTAATATATTTAAAAAAATTATTTTTTTAATATTAATTTAAAAAATAAACTCTAAACCTAACTTATAAAATGATATTTAGTAATCAGTGAATTTAACTCTTGTAATTAGTCATTAATTTTTACTTTGAATATCTCATATTTCTATGCTGCAACTTAAGCTTCCTCCCTTGCCCCTTCTTGTTCTCTTTCATTCTCACCACAGTCTCCTTCACCAGTCTCCTTTGCTTCCCTCTCCACATCTATGCATATCCTCACCCATGGGTCTCGCGCCTAAAGATCTTTGTGATTGGAGAGTACCCCTTTAAAGTATAAGCGGGATAGATGCAGATTTAAGTAGCTTTTAGTTGCTGGGTCTGTTCACCCTTCCCATCTCGTGGTGGCAGTGGAAGCGACCTTGCTAGAGGCTGTAGTTTTGCCAGATCTTGTCCCCTATACCCACCCCTATCATATCTTCTTCGTTTCATCTCGATTAGCTCCTCTCCCCATTAAAATTGAACAAAACCCACCCAAAAAATCACAATAAAAACTTTAAGTTCACTTTTTTTTTTTGGCAAATTCATTTGTTATTATAGGGATACTTTCAGTTATTTTTCAAGCTACTATGGGAAATTTCACAGGAACTTTGTGAATACACTAAGGTTGTTAGATGAAGAGGTAGAGAGAAGGGTTGGCTGGAAATGGAGAATTAGACGCAACCCGTTTGCAAAGCTTTTGATGTTACTCGAGGAAGAAAAGGGCTGGACGAAGTAAAGAGAGAAAAAAAGGCTGTGGGCTCATATGTACTTGGATAAAAAAATAATTTAAAAATAATTTTTTATATTATTTTTAATATAATATTATATATTATTTAAATAATTAATTTTTTTATTTAATTAAAATTTATAATATTAAATATATATATTTATTTAATAACATATAAAATTTATATAAAAATTATATAAAAATTATTCTTCTATCAACACCTTGGCCAATGTTAATTTTCTTTGTTAAAGGTGCGTGTCAGCATTTATTGTTTGTTCTTTTCCATGTCAATATGAGGGCCCAATTAAGCCTGCCACACAATTAAATTAGTGCCACATCAGTGAATAACTGACGGAATGTAACAGCCTGTGACCTGCATCAGACTTTACAGTTAACTTGTGGGTTTTTTTTTTTGGCTGTTTGTAAATTATAAAAGGCATTGAGCAAGAAGAAAATTAATTTAGAATGTTATCTAAAAAAATATATTTAGATAGTAAATAGGGATTTTGATCTTTTTGCTTAATATCCAAATACGGTTATTTTTATTGAATAGAAAAGAGTGGAGTAAATGTGTAAATAAGGATTTTAATTTTACACTATTTTTTATTTAAAGATATTAATTTTTATCAATTATAAAAGGCATTGAGCAAGAAGAAAATTAAT